AGAGAAGAGTAATGTTAAAACGTCATTTGTTATTATTGCAGTGCGAGTTTTTCAATAACAACCTTCGATAACCTCGTGTTGTTTCTTTTGCTTGTCAGTGGATTTCGGTTATGCCCCCCCACTTCAAACTAAAATTGCTTCCCACGGACACGAGAGAGAGAGAGAGGTCTTCATTCTTATTAACCTTTGAAACCTATGCACAGGAGAGTTTTTATAAATATTTTAATTATAACAGTGTTATAAGAAAAGCTGCAATAATTTTTTTTCTACTATCAGAACGTGTCCAAATTGTATGGAATTCCATATATGATACGACAGCCAACTGCTTACTGCCAACTGCTCACTGCTTACTGCCAACTGATCACTACTTACTGCCAACTGCTTACAGATGATATTGCCTATTTTGTTATCTTATAATGATATCTTCAAAACTCATGCTTGAATAAATCATATGATAGCAAGAAAAGAACGACAAAGAATAGTAATGTTCTGTCTAACTACCTCCAAGTCAATTTTTCAAAAGTTAACATATTTAAATGATTTTTCGTATTATCATAGCTATTTATGTGAATTTTCATAAAACATAACTTCAATGAAGGGGGCTATGTTTACAGACTATGTTTGTTTGTTTGTTGTTTAACGTCCCTCTCGAGAATTGTTCACTCACATGAAGACGCTAAGTACTACTTGTCGGTGGAGAGCTGCAAATTTTGACCTGTACTCGGCACTTAGGGTCATTGAGCAGTGAGGGGTCTTTTTCGTGTCAGCACCTACTGCGATACGGGGCCTCAGTTTATAAGGTTTATTCCCATCTAGCCAAAATTTCAAATTTCTTATTCCCATTTAGCCAAAATTGGGATTTTCACACCTAAGTGGTCACCTGTGTATAGTCTGTTTTAGGCTTATTACCTGTAACAATTACCTGTGGTATACAAGTTCATCATAAAAATGCATGGTTTATTCCCACCTAGGCAAAATTTCAAATTTCTTATTCCCATCTAGCCAAAATTGGGATTTTCATCCCAAGGTCTCATCCGAAGGATCGGTCTCCACGTCCCACAGTGGAATTCGAACCCGCGACGTAAGGATCAACTCCTTACTCCGCGACTCTAGAACAAACACTCTCACCACTATGCAACGTAACAGACAAAAAACAGGGAAATAGTCATTTTGTTGCCAGTTTCAAATGAGATAACAAATAAAACAAGATGTGTTTGTGAAACGCTGATGTCCCCGTATGACAACTTAAGGTTAAAATTTCTCAAATGCAAGTCAAACTCCAAGGTCAAGGTAAAGAGATCAAAAATGTTGTTACCCAAAGAAAGGACTGGTGTCAATGGATATACTTGGTAAATATGAGAGCCCAAGCACCAACCATTCAAAAGTTATCGTCAAAGATAATGTTTTCTAAAAGTGAGTCAAACTCCAAGGTCAAGGTCAAAGGGTCAAAATTAATGGTACGCAGAGGAAGGCCTTTTAATAAGAAATACACATGCAAAATATAA